AACAGCTTGCCACTTGCAAAATTGGCAAATTCACTTAAAGATAATGCTTACTACTGGTAAAGTTGTAGCGAGAAAGAGATTTTCAGTTTTGTTTGATCTCTGTATAAATTGTTGAAAGCTTTCTGGAGGCTACAACTGGCAGTGTATCAAGAGACATGATAGAGGTCACATTCTCGGACTCAAAAATACTAAGAATGTTAGATAGAATATGATTTTTGTGAAATTCATTTTATTAGTTGAATTTTAATAGCATATAAATATCTGTCCCCAGCAAAGTGCTATTATGTTTATTTTGAATAATTCAAATTACATAGAAAAAGGGCTGGAGCGATAGCACAGCGGGTAGGGCGTTTGCCTTGCACGCAGCCAACATGGCCGACCAGAGTTCGATTCCTCCGTCCCTCTCGGAGAGCCCGGCAAGCTACCGAGAGTATTGGATATGCCAGACACAGTAACAACAAAGTCTCCAATGGAGACGTTACTGGGCCCGCTCGAGCAAATCGATGATCAACGGGAGGGCCTTTACTTTTACTTTACTTTTACATAGAAAAAAGTAAGATGGCGGAAGTATGCACATACATTTATGTAATTGTATATTAAAATGAATACCTATGAATAAAACTCTAGTAGGAAAACAAGAATATTAATAGTAATTTATCATTGGTTTTAATCTTGTGGCTGTATTTTATTATCTAATATCCATGAGTTTGAATTTTTACAATTTTTACTATCAGAAAGTAGGCTTATTTTATTTTTTTTATTTATTTATTTTTATTTATTTATTGAATCACTGTGGGAAAGGTTATAAAGCTTTCAGGTTTAGGTCTCAGTCATGCAAATATCAGACACATTTCCCTTTACCAATACTTATTTTTTACCATGAAGAACCCCAATAAAACCCCACCCCCCACCCCTCCCAGTCCCTGTGAGGCAGATGAATTCTAGTTAACACTCTATCTGCTTTGATTAGATTCATTGTTTCAATAAAAGATTCACCACTATTATTTAGAGTTTACCCCCCACCCCCAAATCAGACATGCTGAAAAAGCATTGTGAAGTGATTTGCTTTCTACAGCTGGGTTCAAGAATTAAATGTTGGTTTTGGATTACTTATTGACCCTGGAAGTATTTCTACTGAAAGTCAGATAGTTAAGAAATTGGTTTCTGTGTTCTGGAGTCGTGGCCGTGTTGGAGAGCCGCTAGTGGGGGGCAACTGGTGGCCTCGGTAGGGCGTGAAGAGCGGACCGAAACGCCCCCCTTCCCATGAGGTTTTAGTCGCCCCCACACCCCCGGCTCATACCTGCTGTCCACAAGGCTCCCATGCGGCCGCCATCTTTCCAGAGAGGAGAGGGCAAATGGGGCAACACCCTTTCCCCTCCGGACAGACGTGATGGCCTGGATTAACGCATAGTCCGTTCACTTTTCTGCTCCAAGCTGCCGGGTTCTGCATTAAGTCCTTGTGCTTCTGGGGCCGTGGCTGTGCTGGAGAGCCGCTCGCGGGGGGCAACTGGTGACCTCGGTAGGGCGTGAAGGATGGACCGGAACGCCCCACTTCCCATGAGGTTTTAGTCGCCCCCACACCCCCGGCTCATACCTGCTGTCCACAAGACTCCCATGTGGCCACCATCTTTCTTTCCAGAGGGAGAAGGGCGGAAGGGAGCAACACCCTTTCCCCTCCGGGCAGACATGATGGCCTGGATTAACGCATAGTCTATTCACTTTTCTGCTCCAAGATGCTGGGTTCTGCATTATGTCCTTGTGCTTCTGGGGCTGTGGCCGTGCTGGAGAGCCGCTCGTGGGGGGAACTGGTGACCTCGGTAGGGCGTGAAGGACGGACCGGAACGCCCCCCTTTCCATGAGGTTTTAGTCGCCCCCACACCCCTGGCTCATACCTGCTGTCCATAAGGCTCCCATGCGGCCGCCATCCTTCTTTCCAGAGAAGAGAGGGCGAGTAGGCCTATTTTAAGTAACTATAAATCATGGTAAACTTTACAATCAGTCCCTAATTTTTCCCAAATTATGTCTTAATGCTCAAGACAGCTTGAACTTTTCAACAACTTGGAATATATATTCTTTTGACAAATAATGCTAAAAACTGTGAACGGTCCTGCACTTTGATCCATTGTATCCTTTTTTTTTTTTGTTTTTTGGGTCACAACCAGTAATGCTCTGCACTCAGGAATTACTCCTGGTGGTGCTTGGGGGACTATATGGGATGCCGGGGATTGAACCTGGGTTGCCTGGCAGTGTGCAAGGCAAATGCCCTACCTGCTGTACTATTGCTCCGGTCCCGATCTATTGTATCCTTGACCTTAGTTTCTAAAGAGGCAGGTACAAGGTGGAAAACAAGTAGATGAAGGTGTTATATTAAAAGATAAAAGTCACTTAATTGTGGACACATTCAAGTACCAGTTGTATTTGATAAAATGAAGAAAGAAATGAACAGGGTGTAATTTTATGTAATCTAGGATACGCTAGAGCCTCATAGCCCAGAAAGTGTTTGGGTAAGAGGCAGTTACTCGGCCTAAAAGTCTGAAATAGTGTTAATTGTCATTTCATTTTGAGTGTGGCCTCTTCCCCTGTAGTGCTTGAGTATGGTTGCCTGCAAGTCTGATTCCTGTCTTTGCTGTGTGTCACATTATTTTGATGATATCAATGTTTTGTTCTGTGAAGGTAATTTCTCTCTATCTTTTGTTCTATTAATGTTCACACAGTTAGTTCAGTGAAACTTATTCACACCCAGGAACTTCTCCTTCTCTGTCTCCTTTCTCTGTCTTGCAGGAACTGAGGGTGGCTTCTGGTGTTTTGTGTGGCTCCATCATTTCCTTCCTGCCTCTCATCCAGTTCATGATGTAATTCTTGGCACTTTTACTTCCTTTGTAGAGTAGGATGTGATGGCATAGAGAAGGGGACAGGGCTATCCAAATTCTCTCAATTGCTGGGAGGAGCTGCCCAGGTGTGCTGAGGGGCCTGTACTCAGGAAGAGAAACAGGGAGTCCTCCACAGTGAGTAACCCCACTTTCAAGTGCACCCAAATTTCCATTAAAACATTGCCTAGTACACGGGAATTTGCTCTTCAGCCGTTTTCTAGATTTAATCAGTTTGCCTTTGGACATTCCCAGTTCAGCTCAATTTTCCTCCTTTCTCTCCCTTGTCCTCTATACCCCTCTTTCAACCATCCTGTCTTTTCCTTCCAGCTTCCCTCTTTCTTGCTTGCTTACTTGTATGTCTGTGTCTGTTGCCCTTTTGCCTATATCTCTTCAGAGAGTCCATTAGTGTCTCCAGCATTGCCTATCATTTGGGTTGATGCCCATCCTATGTATATAGTCCATGTGACCATAGCATCTCCTTCAATAATCCATGAATATGCCTGCCCTACTAACAGTTCTTAATTTCAAAATTCTGCCAACATTTTTTTGTTTTCATGTCTTTATTTTTTGCTTCTCTTTGTGATCTAATATCTACCCCCTTTCAGCTCTTTTATGCAGTTTCCTTCTTGCCTTTTTTTTAAACAATATTTTTTATGTGGTAGTCCTCTTCCCTACACAGCTATGCCTGTTTCTTTTTTCCCCTTTCCCAGTTCAAGTTCAGCTCTCCAGTGCCCTCCTCTGTGAGGACTGTTTTTCTTCAAAAGACATGCTTTAAGACATACTTGTTGTGCCTTCTGTCTTAATGGAACTCATAGTTCTACATCATAAAGAACTTACCCACTATCACCAACGGGCTGATCTAGACTGGGAAAAAATGGGGAAATTTTCTGGAAACTAGAAAGGGAAGAAAATCAGAGTGGCCCTCATAGTAACCTGGGGCTGGCTTTACATAAGGACTTTGAGAAACTGACCCTTTACTGGTAATATAGTTGAAATTTGGCCACTGATAATAGAAAAGATCACAGAGTTGTTGGAACAGATTTGGAAGACTTGCCAATTTTTTAGTTTTTACAGTACCCAGTTAATGCTGATAATCATGATGATTCTAGCAAATAAGCAAAAATTAGAATACTCGAACTCTTGAAGTTGTAATGGACCATGACTCGTGCAAGTAGCTTCTATACATATCTTTAAATAGGTATTGTCTGCCCTTGGGGGAAATCACTGTAAAGATGTGTAGAGAACCGTTTCTTGTACCCAGTGGTGGTCCCTGTAGTTCATGTTGATGAGCAGTGTGGGCACTGTTGTTTACTGCTGTCACAACATGGAGCCATGTTCCTGGATAAATAAAGGAACTTGATGTCCAGGGATGATGGTCTAATATACCAGGGGACTGATTAACTATGTCCTGTGGATTCCCCACATTTTATTTAGAAATACTCCCATCTATCAAAGACCATGTAGGATAAAAAGGGAGAGAAAGAAAACAGGACTTAGTTTCCAACACTGAAATGGGCTGAATAGGAAGATGAATGGGTTTACTGAGAATTAATCAGAAAAGGCAAAAGAAAGGAAACTGAGCTGAACTGGAAAACACTGTAATGAGTCCCTCAGGCTTCTGTGCGCTGCTTTTACATTTTGGCCTTGAAGAATACCCACTTCCCATTTTAAAATATAAAAGAGGTTTACTAAAATATGAACCCAGGTTATTTCTGACCACTTATTTCTCTGTCATTGGTAATATTCAGGCTCTATATTTTCCAAGGCCCCAGAAATTTAGGAACTAGTTTAATAGCCTGAAATGTTTTAAACTATAATTCATTAGCAGCTTTTTAATGAAAGAAATGATATGCATTTTTAACTCGATTTCTTTAGGTTTTACCTTTTTTTGAGGTTATATTTGTGTTTTTTTAAGACTAGCCCCTATAAGTCATAAAAATTGCCCTTAATGATCAGGAAAAATATTTTATTCTCACTTTACACCTGAGGTGTATAATGAGACATTATTTTGACAAAGCAGTCCCTTCCCTTTGAAAATTTGAAGGAAACATTGCATGATTCACATGCACATTATTTTGAATGATTCTGTGCTTTAATCTAGGAATCTTATGTTTTATCTTTATCTTGTAGGCACTAGAAAAGCATCCCAACTCACCAATGACAGCAAAGCAGATATTGGAAGTAATTCAGAAAGAAGGTTTAAAAGAAACAAGGTCAGTATTCATATTTGTAAAATTTTCTATTTTCATGCAAAATAATGGATTTATCTAGAATTTTCATTTAAGATTCATTGTGTTTAAATAACTACCTTCATATAGTTTTTGCAATAGATTCTTGAGAATCAGAACATTTCTTGGGACTTGTGAGTGACTTAATTGAAATAGATAGAAATAAAATAATTTTGTTGACAAAGAACAGACTATGTGAACTAGCCTCTCTTTGGCGTAATTCCTATTTTTTTAATAAGAGGAGATTGTATTTCTGAGAGTATTGAAAGAAACACTTTTGCAAACTTTATAGCTAGAACCCAGGATATTAAGATGACCTCACTCTGATAAAATTCAAAGTGCCAATAAATGTAGTTGAAAATTTAGTTCTCATATATTTAGAACTCCTTACTTGAGCATCATTAATCAGCTGTTGAGCCTTTAAAAATAGCAGCTTTATTGAGATATGATTCATACAACATAAAATCCACCCATTTAAAATGTATAGTTCAGTGGTTTTTAGTATATTCACAAAATTGTACAGTCATTACCACTAATTTTACACCATATAACAATCTTCCCAGTTCAGTTTTAGGAAATTTTCATTATCCTAAAGTGAAATCCCATACTCATTAGCATCATTTTTCCCATTTCCTATTCTCACAAGCCCCCAGTAATCTCTAATATACCTCCTATATCTAAGGATATGTCTACTGTGGACCTTTCATATAAATTGAACTGTAAAACAAGTACTTTTGTTGCTGGTTTCTATTAGCATTGTATTATCAAAGTTTACCCATGTTATAGCATGAACTGATAACTTAATTCACATTTGTTGCTAAGAAATATTCCTTTTTATATAATGACACATTTCTCATATGAGCTGATTCCATGAATTATTTTTAGTATTTGGACTTTAGTCAGTTTTTTAGGGTCATTCTGATGATATTACTGATGGAGAGAAAAATAAGAAAAAAGTAACCAGAGTTGTCATATGTGGTTGCACTTGGTGAAAATGAAAACCAGTGAGTTACTGTTTGAAACATTTTTTGACAGACATTGAGCCAGAACTTCTAAGAAATGAATATTCTCCTGGGATTAATACTTTCTAAAAATTCAGTATTACCCATAACTCCTGTTACTGCGAAGTGTGGGTGGCATTCACCTCCCTGTTTAAAAGTGCATCTTTCTCAAGTTTAATCTATGAACATCTCATTTTAGGGAGTGCAGGACACCTAGGTTCAGTTTTACACTATTTTTTTGAAATTTTTTCCTGTGTGCCCATTTTGACGAAAGAACATGGGGTACTGTAACTACACTGTTTGCAGTAATCATTATCCCAAATGCCCTCAAAATGGAGGCAGTAATGGGAAGGGAAGTTGATGACAGAGCCTTATCTCTCTGTCAGAAGAGACCCTGTTTCTCGTTTTCGGTTTTTAGGCTACATCTGGCAAGGCTCAGGGGTTGCTTCTGGCTCTGTACTCAGGAATCACTCCTGGCAGTGCTGGGTCGACCATATGGGATGCCAAGGATCAAACTGGGGTAGGCTATGTGCAAGCTCCTTATCTGCTGTAGTACCACTTCAGCCTGACCCTGTTCTAAGCCAGATGTGAGTGTGAGGAGTTAAAGAGCAATATGGGGATCTCTGCAAATTAATTTTCTCCTTACTTTCTCTTGAAAGCCCAGGAAATATTTATGACACTTAGAAAGCATGGAAAATCTTTGAGCTTTAGTGAAAAGAAAAGAGGAGGTAAAAATGGTAGGATATCAACTACAGTCAAGTGTCAGCTTTGTGTCAGAGAATCTGTCAACAGAGACTTAAATAGCATCTTCTGTAAGGAGACATTTGAAGTTTATTCATTAAGATACTCTGCACAGGAGTCACTATGCTACACTCACTTGTTTCATAACTTGCAGTGTAAAATTTCTGTACCATGGTTCTGAACAGCATTTTACTTACGCTTATTGTAACAGCACTGTTTCATATTTTTCAAAATGCTAGGCTTTCCAGAATTGTATAGGAAACTGCTTTAAATGTATAGATTAAAAAACAAATACCCCTATTTTTAAGAGTAAAAAAGCATTGAAATAGAAAGATAAACTCCCGTTTCTCTACATGCTGTCTTCCTCCCAGTCTTTTAGTTACCTTCTTAAAAAAAAGAAAAAGTTCATTGTTATAAGTGCTGACGAGCCTATTTATTTAGTGATAGTAAAAGTACCTGTAAGGAATTCTCAGGTTGAATAGGAGAGAGGACAGGAAAAAAAGATATCCAATCCTATATTTTTTTGTCATATCAGCTCTGAAGGTTCTTAATTAGTTTTCTTATTTCTTTTGACTTTCTTTGAAATTTCCTCCTTCCTATTATTACCTATGACTGGTGCATCTGTGACCACTCTCCCATTTTCTTCTAGTTATAGAAATAAAATGACTGCTATGACAGAATCAAATTACAGCATATAAAGTTATACTCAGAATTGTTTAAAGTTAGTTTCAGCCTTTCCTACTTACTAGGTGGTTTTAGGGAGCAGATTCTGACATTTATTTTGTGTACTTAATATACTAATTTGCTGTCATCCAAATCCTAAGACGTTTCCCACATATAAAAGCTAGCTAAGCTAAGCAAAGGAAGTGTAATGGTGTCTATTTTCTTAAGTGAATTATATAGAAATTCCATCATCATAAGTTCAAGCATAGTTGCCTAGTTTCTCAGTATTATATCAACAATGTGTTTTTCAAGAAATGCAGATTTGTGATATGCTTGAGTGAATGCAGATGTGTAATTAATTGAAAGTCACTAAGGTGGCCACGATCTTTTGGTGGCTTCCTCTGTGAATCACGTTTAGGTTTTCCCCAAACAGTCATCTCTACCTTGCATACCTAGTGTAGAGAATATTGGGTTTTTGCCTGTAATCATTTCAAACTTGGCTCTAAATGGATGGCATTTGTTTTGAGTACCATGGAATTCCTTCATTGTGTGCGCCCAGCAAGATCGCCTGTAGCATTTACTTTACCGTACTGTAATTTTGTCCTTGTTTGTTTTCCCGCCAGTCTGTGAGTTCTTTCAAGGGCAGGGTCCCTAATAGTCTCAGGACCCAGAAGATACTCAATAAATATTTGTTGAGTAAATAATCTTCTCAAGATGTTAATTCGCTGGCACTTAGTGATGACTCTAGCTTGTATTTTAGCATTAGTTTCTTTTTAACATTTCATGGTGTGTTTGCCCTTTTGTTTGATAGTTTGTTTTTAATCAAAGGGAACCTAAGAGTTTTGTGGGACTCACAGCAAATATATGCAGGCTTAGACTCCAGCACGTTATCTGTGAACATGTAAGGTTATTGTACTGTTGCGTGTTTCCAAACACTGTAAGTGCTTCTGGCTTAAACCTGTAACTTACAATAAAAGATTCAATAGCTATCACAAAACTGCTGTGAGGACTTAAATGTGTCTACTATATGTGATATCGTTAATTTATTTGCAGTGGATTTCTTGACATTTCGTGTTATCTTTCACTCTTTGAAGTGACACTTTGAATTATATACTTTCCATGGAGACATGATAAAAAGAGAGACAGCTTTTCTATATCATGTTCTGTATATCTTATTCATGTTATTGATGAAATATGTAGTGTATGATTAAATTCTATTTGAAAAGGCCAGACAGAAACAAGTAGTTTCCATATGGGTTTAAAGAGGTAAATGAATTTAGTAGTCACAAGTACATAAAGATTTTGTTGAGGAATCTTAATAGTATCATGAATTGATTTCCTAGACTTAAAAAAAAATGAAATTCTATACTTCTTAGTTTTATTCACTTCTACATAATAACAACATCTTTATCGATATATGATTTTATTCTGGTACATCTGTTTGCCTAGTTTACTGATTCTGAGTATTTTCAGGCTGCTATTTGTATTTGAGTTGAGTACGATTGATGAAACATCTGTTTAGAATGTATTTCCGATGATCAGAATCTGATCATCCTGTAGCTATATTGTTTAAATCAAGGGATAAAGATGTGCATATTCCAGTGTGCTGGTTTTGTGGTTGGATACGTGATATGCTTGTTTGGACCACTGTGCTAGATATTTTACCTTCCTCTGGGAGTTAAGGTGTTACTATAGAATATGGTTTTGTTTGCAGTAATTAAAAATATGTTTATTGGAAAAGAGGAGTAACTACAGTTATCTTCTGGGTTTGGAAGACTTATCCTAATTCTGATTTTTGATTTTGGTTTAAATAGTTCAAAGTTATAGTTCTATTACAATTAAAATTGAAATAGTTTTCATGCTGGAGGATCTCTTTTTTGTTTTTCTGTTCACTTAATTTTTAAAGTGATGCTTCCAGGGACATGTGTGTTCTATCGTAGTGCTATTCAGGGGTGTGCAGAGAAGTTGTAGAGTAATGTTTACTATGCTTACCTAGTGCATGCAGAATAGTCATTCATCAGTAAGTGATAATTTCTCATGTGCTATGTGTTGTCATTGCAAGATTGTGTTGTCATTGCAAGATACCTACCATTCATGTAGTATGAACAGCAATGTAACTCCCACTTCATTGTTTAATAGGTTAACAATTTTATAATGTGGGGGCAGCCATAAAATATGGACAACAACTGACCCCTCCCCAACCCCCCACCATCATACACACAAAGCAGTAATAATAACAGTAGTGATAAAAAACACCTCTGTGGGATTTGGGACAGGGGATATTTATGGTGAACATTTTTACAGTATTAGAGATGTCTTATTTCAAAGAAAAATCTATGTTAGATTTCATTAACCGTAGAGAAGCAGCCCATAATAACATGTAATAGGAACATTTGAGAAGGTTTATAAACATTCTCTGTTGTGTTCTTTTTTTACTCAGAATATGGACTTATTTTTGATTTTGCAACTTAGAACATGCGATTTGCAGCTCAAGATTTTGTAATTTGATTTCAATGAGAACTTTTTAATTCCTTCTGGATATTATTAGAATAAATTTCTTTTTAGCTACTGTCTTAAGGC